ATTGCAATGCGCTCTACATGGGGCTACCCTTGAAAAGCGTTTGGAGACTACAGCTAGTCCAGAATGCAGCCACGCGAGCGATACTGGGTGTAACGAGATACACCCATGTTACACCTGTCCTCCGCGAGCTGCACTGGCTCCCTATCGGTCTCCGGACGCAATTCAAGGTGTTGGTTATTATCTTTAAAGCCCTACATGGCTTAGAACCAGCATACCTGCGAGACCGCCTACTGCCATATACCTCCCAACGGCCGATAAGATCCGACAGATTGGGCCTCCTTAGGACGCCGTCAGCCGGACAGTGCCGGCTGGCGGGGCCTCGGAGGAGAGCCTTCTCTGTGGCTGCTCCGACCCTTTGGAATCAGCTACCCCCAGAGGTCCGGATCCTGCCCACTCTCTCGGCCTTCTGGAAAGCCGTTAAAACCTACGAGGTCCCTTCCAACTCTGTTGTTTTCTGTCAGTTGTCAAAAGCCAATTATTCCCATGGCAACAGTCAGGAGAAAGCCTGACCTTCTGCCCCCGTGTTGGCTAGGCCTTTCCAGCGAACGGTGACCATGCACAAAGACGGCTCTGGCCATGTGGGTTTCGTCATTAAGCGAGGCCAGATCACCTCACTGGCCAGAGACAGTTCTGCGGCCCGGAACGGACTCCTCACCAAGCATCACATCTGCGAAGTCAACGGACAGAACGTCATTGGCCTGAAGGTGAGCATCGAATGCAGAACAGTGGGTGGAGAACGCTTGGATGGCGTGAACCCTCTTCCAGGTCTTCAGGACTAGAAACTTGGCCATTTTTGTTAAAAGCTGCCTTTTGCACCCGGTTTTATAGTCTGTAATACAGGTACTCCTCGACTTACGACCGCAACTGGGATCAGGGTTCCCGTCGCCAGCCAAGATTTATTGTCTGGCGAGTCACGCCCGATCGGTGACCTTCGTGGCCACCGTCGTTAAGCGAACCACTGCAGTTGCGAAGCGAGTCACGCGGTCGTTAAACGAATCTGGCTCCCCCCCATGGACATGGCTCGTCGGAAGCCGGCAGGCAAGGTCGCCAGCAGCAACCACGTGACCTTGGAACGCGGCGACCGTCGTAAAGCGATGCTGGTTTGCCAAGGCCCCAAATTTTGTTCGGTTGAAAGTGAAGGTAGTAAATTTGAACGGTCAGTAAATGACGAATGGTTGTAAGTTGAGGACTGCCTGTGATATCATCCATCACACCAGGGTGGAGTGATGCAGTCAGGAATAAACCAAGAAAGGTTGTGTTGAAAGCCTCCATATTTGTGTGTGTGTTTGTGTGTGTGTGTGTGTGTGTGTGTGTGTGTGTGTGTGTGTGTGTGTGTGTGTGTGTTTGTGTGTTTGGAACCGGGCCAGCGAAGACANAAAGAGGATAGGCAGATAGAAGACACATGATAGAGAAATAGATGATAGAGATAGAAAGAAAGAAAGAAAAATAGAAATGATAGAGGATAGGCAGAAAGAAAAAAGGAAAAAAAGAATGGAAAAGAAAGAAAGAAATAGAAAGATATCAGAGAGAGGATAGGCAGATAGAGGATAGACAGGCATGATGGAGAAATAGAGATGATGGATAGATGTGTGTGTCTGTGTGTGGGAGGGAGGGAGGGAAGGAGGGAAGGAGATGGCCAACATTTCACCTTTCAACTGCTGACTCCGTCAAAAGAGGAAAACAGTTTGGATCCATCCAACCTTCTGGGCCGGCAGCCAAGCTGCTCCCTGGGAAACAGCCATTGAAGGCGAAAAGCAGGGAGGGGATCGTGAGTTTCTTCGGATCTTCGCCATTGAACATCATCCAAGTTTCCCAGGTCTATGAAACCAAGTTCAGAAGGGGAGTTTCTTTATTTAACCCTGTGGATTCATCAGCCAATGAAAGAAAAAGCAGTCGTAACATTTGCCAAAGACATTGCAGGAAGAAACCTGGGTCAAAGTGGGTTGGTTGATGGATTTGGATTTGCTCACCCTGTTTTAAAGGCTTGAATAAATTGTCTGGGTGCTTCTGGGTATTCTTCAGCTGTTCAAATGGAAATATTAAAATGTCCTCGAGAAAAATCACCTCGGCCGAGAGTCGTTTCTCAACCCTCTGACAATCCTGGGGGAAGTAACAATGGGTAAGTTTACTTGCTGTAGCCCAAAGTCAGAGATAGTTGACCTGGGCTTTTATGAAAAGTTCATCGTTCTCCGAGAGACGGAGAGCGGTTTCGAAATCAACCGAAGAAGACGTGGGAGAAATAGGACAGCTGCTAAAATCCCATCTTGGGAGAACCTCAATATAAGAAGTTCCGCTTGTGATTCGCCAACGGGGGAGAAAGAAATAGCAATAGCAATAGCAGTTAGACTTATATACCGCTTCATAGGGCTTTCAGCCCTCTCTAAGTGGTTTACAGCATATTGCCCCCAACAACAATCCGGGTCCTCATGTCACCCAGGATGCAAGGCTGAGTCAACCCTGAGCCGGTGAGATTTGAACAGCCGAACTGCAGAACTGCAGTCAGCTGAAGTAGCCTGCAGTGCTGCATTTACCCACTGCGCCACC